AGCATCACACAAAAGAAGATGGACAACGTCGTTTTCACGGGCTTGGAGAATTCTTTGAGCCATTTCAGGGCTTTTACTCATGTTATACGTGTTCCATCGACACCATGCACGACATTTGGGTGACAACCATATGTTTCTCGGCAAGAGCTCCAGCATTCTGTCATACAGCTTGCAACGGCCTTCGCATGTAGCCAAATCCCCATCGCTCAAACCATGTCTGTTGGCACTCATTCCTAATTGTCGGGCTGTTTTGGTAAGGGAGCTCTCTTGGCTACAATACACTTCCAGCAAGTCAGTGGCATTTTTAGCTAACTTGTTGGGGTGGTGGAGTGCACCCCGCTTCCCTAAATGATTCCACATCTCTTTGGCTACCCAATTTTGGGAACGGCTGAGAAAGATGTTCTCCCCTACATCGTACCCTATCTCACTATCCCCCATTGGATCCCAGATTTTATGGGTATCATTGTCCTGTAACATGGCATAGATGTCGGCTATCACATGTGACTCAACTTCTGGGTGACCTGGCATCTCTACTGACCGGATGGCTGGCTGGGCTGATTGCTGCTCAGCAAGTTCAGAACTTATTGGAGTACATTCTCGACTTCCCCCATGCGATGCTGCATCTCGTTCATCTCGATCTGGTTCTGAGGAATGGCCCATGAAGCTTCGGTTGGAGCTCCCATCTCCTCTTCGGAGTTTTCCCAAGGATCCTCGGGAAGGTGAACTTGCAACAGCTTGGCTTTCGCCTTGGCTTTGCTTTGAGTCGCCATCGCAGGTTTGGGGGAGATGTTCTTCTCGGCCTCGAGTTTCTCCACATGGAGCTGGATGAAGCGCAGGAAGCGTACGTGTTGTGGTCTTTGACTGCCACGGTACGCTTCGGCAAACCAGGTCATGTAGTGGGTCTCCTTGGTCATCTCGAGGAAGCTCTTGCCAAGATGAGCCTTTCCAAAGTCCATGCACTTGTTGCTGAGCTCTTCGTACGACATCTCCATGATTTGGCTCAGCTGTTCTGCCTCGTTTGTCTCTGAGCTCAGTGACACTCGGCGCAACCTTTCTGCCAGCTGATCGAACTGGTGACTCATGTCGGACGCCATGGTCTGCAAAGAGTGTCACCGTCTCCCGTTGGGCTGTCTCGAACCGGCAGTCTTGTTGGGCAGTGAGCTGACTGTCTGCATGTTCATGGGGCATGTTATATGAAACTTGGCCATGATCATGAGTTACTCGTGGTTGCAAAGGCTGATCGGCTTGATGATTCGTACCACCTACCTTTGATTCTGATACCTGATCTTTCTGATCTACCCTTGGCACCTGGCATACCTCTGGCCTCGGATACTTTTGTTGATCTGATTCATCACTCTGAACTGACAAGGCGGATGCAACGGATGCTTTTGGCCCGGGATCGACCAGCAGGTCTAGCAGGTCCAGGCAAAAGAGATTTCTTTCGGACAGTGAAATTGGTATGGATCGGCCAAGCTTCTGAAAAAAAATCTGTTCTGACCCGGTGTCAATCACGGCTCCTAGGGCTCGGAAAACACTATTTGCTATCAGAAACGGAGTGTGTGATGGTACTACAATCACCTTCATCCACTGTTGGCCAATTGGAAAAAACACAGCACGTTTTCCGGTCACCGTGCTGTTGTTGCCAAATCGGAAACTGACGGCACAGGGGGCTTCGCGCATGCGACATTTGACTGTAGCAGGAAGGGCATTGCAAAGTTCTTCAAACTGTTTTATGCCTATAACCGACATGCTGGCACCTAAATCCACAATCCCTGAAGTCCCCTGTGATACAAAGTGGATCCATTCTGTGTCATGGTTCCCTATGAAATCAACTTTAGCTCTCAGGGGGTCATGTCGTGGAACCGGTTGGGGCATCTGGTCACGGCGTGAGGTTGGACCATCATTGCGACTGTTCCTGCAAATTGTTTGCAGTCTCGCTTTGAGACTCTGGCATGATTGCTGCATCTTTTGGCGGAGTTCCCCTTTATCTACTCTAACCCCACTAAAGTTACGGAGAAGCCCATTACCCCTTACTTTATTCTCTGGCTGAAACACCCCTTTTGGTCTTTGGGCAATGGCCTCCATCATGAAGGCCACGGCATTCTCCGGCAGTTCATCGACTACATCGGCAACCACCGCATCTTCCATGGTGGACTCTTGGAGCATTGAGACGCCAGCGAAAGCGCTGGCACCAGATGCATTCGGAGGGGCCGACTTGGCTTTGTTCGGACATTCGGCTTTCCAATGTCCTACCTGACCACAAGCTCTGCAAGAACTCTCCAGGATGCGTTGGGCAAGTGGCTTACGAAACTTGTTCTTGAAGCCACCCTTGAACTTCCCTTTCCCCTTGCTTTTTCCAGGACGAGGAGCCCAGAAGCCACGGCCTTTGGACTTGTCCTGGAGGCGTCTCCTGGCATCTGCATAGCTATTGAGGCAAACAGCAACCTCAGGGTCATTCTGAAGGGATTCAATTACTGCATCTTCAAATTGTTGAATCACCAGAGCGTCTTCATCGCCCTCCGCCAAGAATGCTTCCATGACTGCGTCCTCGGACATCTCGTGAGCCATGAAGACCTGTTCATCCTCATCATGATCACCTTCACCCTCATCAACGTAGTTGACGTCATAGGTTTTGGTGCGACCACCTGTCTTCGAACTTCCTGTCTGAACCTCACCGAAGAAACGTGAGCCCAAAAGCTGGAGGTTCTCGATCACCTGCTTGTACTCCAAGTTGCCTTTGGCATCGATGATCACACGTTTTTTATCCTCGGCTGGCAGTCCAGAGTTCCTCAAAAGGATGTAAGCTCTCATTTCTTCCAGCGTCGCACCAAGGCTGATCATGTCTTCATACTGTACCTCATGGCGAGCAATATAGCTCATGTTGGTTTCATCTGTCCTTTGAACTGTTCCAAAAATGGCTCGTTCAAATCTCTCGTACTTCTTCTCCAATTTTGATTGGCCCCACACTCCACCCAGTGTAGAGACCACCAGCTTGATTCCATCTGTATTCGAGGTCTTCAGCTTCAGTGGGTCCAATCGCACTACCTTGGAGAAGGCTGTGCCCTCACAGAGCAAACATGCCCTTGGGGCTAGCAGTGGCAGATGTTCCGCTGGCCAAATGCCTGCAAGGAACTCAATTCTGCGCGTGTATTCATTGACATCCGTCTCACCTGGCTTGAAGGGTGGTATCAAATGCCAGGGGAGAAAGGAGTTACCTGTTGTCGCACCAGTTCCATCACCAGTGCTTGATGGAGGTCCACCACCGGCACCATCAGGGGCCGCAGTAGGCATCGCTCCACCTGGATCCTCTCACTTCCGCTTCCTTCTAATGGCGCCCTGTCCCAAGAAAGCGGTGAGCCCGTGGGCTCCGCTACCAATGTTGAATTGGTAGCGGCCCCTCACCTTTCACAACCACAATGGCCTCCTGGCCTATTCACCTTGTTGTTATACTTCTCGATTTATGCCCTCAACCCGGCAACCATCCACGAGCCGCGGCCACGCGGTCTTTTCACTCCACGACGACCCCCTGATCGCTGAGCCTACATATGTCGGAACATCAGGAAGATGTTGGAGAAGAAGTGGCATCCCTTCAAGGCAAATGATGGAATTCACAATATATGTATATATATATATTATGTATGTATGTATACAGAATTATAGTCATCCTGAAGTAGATTATGGACTGTTCAATCATATTGCCAATTTAGAGTTGTTTTTCTCGAACATTCCATACTCTGTCTACTCCCGGATGACTATTATATACTCTGTTTATCACACTAGAAATTATTGTTATACTCTGTTTATCACACTATAAATTATTGTTATACTCGATTTATCACACTAGAAATACTGTGTTTATCATCTATATAAGCATTCGCAAACATATGGTTCTTAGAGGAAACAATGTGGCATCAAAGCTGGATATAGCCATAGGGGATGGCATGGATGACCCCTATTTTTGTTGACATCCCATGGTAAACCTAGAAACAATAGGGGCATGTTTTTTCAGCCATGGCCCAGTCGAAATAGTTAATGTAAGCCAGATAAAAAAATGTTGGATCTTTCCATAGTTATGTTAGTTTTTGTTGATTACATCCCATGAATAGAGGTTAATATCCCATGTAGCGCCATGGCGGAGCCATATGATCATGCCCATCCACCAGGGGACGATAGCTAAATTGGTAAATATAACTCCAATACCTACGGAATAGGGGGGGGAATATAGCTATCGTTAATGAGGCTGAACAAAACCAAAGGAAATAATTGCGGAGCTTCCCCTCGTGTATGGTATGAATCCATGATATTTCCATCAATCCATGGAGCCTATCCATGATATTCCTGTTTTATATACATATACATATATTATGTATATAACACATATGGCTCATAGATATACAGTGGCACATGTGTATATACGGTATATATATATATATATACATACCTGCTGGTAATTAGACATGGCTATCGAAGATGAACCATTTATAGTTGATAGTAACATAATGACAAATGGATATGATCATAGTAAAACCAGATATTGACATAAACATGTTGAACATTATGGTTGATAGTTGCATAATGACATAGATCCATTTATAGTGGATAAACATGATGTTTTACCTATTGTCAACAAATAGTAACATAATGATTTAGCCTCTGGTAAACTAACATAGCTATTGAAAATGGCCATCTATAGTGGATTTACTCATTAAACATGTTGATTTTCCATAGTTACGTTAGTTTACCAGAGGGTAAACCCTATGTAATCATCAATCAACCATCATTTATCAACCATATCCCCAGATTGCTGATGGTTAAAATTCCCCAAACATACAATCCCTATGGATCCAAACACTGTCTGAGAAGGTACTTAAGCCTCCAAATGATAGTAAATTATACCCCAAACACTTCCTAAGAAGGTATTTGGATCCATAGGGAATGCTAACTCTATCCCCTTTTGTCGGTAATGTTCCAGTTCGCTACCTCGATCCCTGGAACCGAAGGACAAGCCTCACTCGGAGAAGACCAAAGTGCTGTGTCTCTCGGCGCGCAGAACCGCCGTGGCAAGATGTTCAGCAAGGGCGATACGTCCGATACGTGTGTAGTTTGTTTAGACATATAGAATTATATATGATATCTGGTTGGTGGTTTGGAACATTTTTTATTTTTTATAATATATGGGATAATCCTTCCCATTGACTTTAATATGTTTCAAGATGGTTCAACCAGATATATATAGATATAATGTTATTTCATGTGATATGTCCCACAGTCGAGTTTGGAACAATACCAACAAAATTAGGGGTATGAAAGGGTATGTCGAAATATCTGTTTCGGTCAGATATTGAGTTGTACTGTGGTTCCAAGCAGTTACCGTTGTTTTATTTGCAGGGTTTCGTATTTTGCGGCTGATGTGCCTTCTCAGAAAGGTTTTTGGAGCACTGAGCACTACATACCAATTAATTTTCAAGTGATAAAAAATAACGGTACACTTTCCAAGACCATGGGTAGAACCTACAAATCTGGCGACTTGCCACCATATTTTCTGTTCTGTGATTATCCAATCTATGTTTAAAGAGTTGCTCTTTGAGGAAATCCCTATAATATATATATATAACTATGTGTATATATATATATATATTATGTATATATATGATATATTATATATACATATTCATAACCCCCAGGCGGTTGAAAACAAGTGGAGTCCCCCCAATCCCCCAGCGTCGAGGTTTGGAATTAGGTTGCGGCCTGGGAGTCGGGAGACCCGAGCCGAGCCAATGGATGATCCGGGGGAGTTTTTTGTTGGAAAACATGGGCATTGTATGTTTGGGAGGCTTTAATCATCAGCAATGTGGGGATATGGTTGATAAATGATGGTTGATTGATGATTATTTTTTGGGTTTACCCTCTGGTAAACGTTTACATAACTATGGACAGATCCACCATTGTTTAATGGGTAAATCAACTATTTCAATGGCCATTTTCAATAGCTATGTTAGTTTACCAGAGGGTAAAATTGTAACAAATGGTGATTTTTATGGTAACCAATATAGAAATATAGTAATGAATATGGTAGCTATTTTTGAACACATGGTGATTACTATCAATGATACCAATATACAAATATAATAACCATTATATAGGTTGGACTATTAATATATTCAAACAAGAGTTAATACACCTTGATAATGATTATTTAAATTTGTATTAACTCAGCATCAATATAAACTATCAAGCTGAATTAACCAAAATGTACATCTGCAAGATTAAATTATTGTTACTATGTTAATGTTAAGTGTCAGTTTCAGGGAAACATGATGCATTTATTTTTTTCAGGTTAATGGCTTACTTCTTAGCTTCAAATGGAGAACTAACATATCCCGCCAAAGGATTTCAGTTTTGTGTCCAGGGTTAACATGCATTGATGTGGCAACCCAAGGCATTCGCAGACACTTGACAAAGAACAGGCGCACACACACACACCCTGCGTTTAATGCGTTTTGCCACCTATGTTTGCTGTTTCTGAAGTGTTTCTGCAGTGTATATTATATGTTTTTTTTGCAATCTGTTGCGGCGATGACGTGGTGTATTTTGTTTTCGTTATTTACTTTTGTCGCCACATTAATATATAACAAAATATTCCCTGAACATGTTGCCACCATTTCCAAATATGTGTGTTTCATATTGTTTCCTTGCCATCAATCACCGTCAATCACCATCAATCACCATCAATCACCATCAATCACCATGCATGGTAATCCATGATTCCATCCCCAGGCCCCTGCAGTGAGAACTGAACTGGAGAAGGCCCAGGGGACTGGCGGGCATTGGTGCAGAGATGGTGAATGGATATCTGAGTGGTGCTTTTAATATGTTTTTTGTACATTTAGAATAATCCATAAATTGACCAATATCTTTGGGACCTTAGGATGATTTAGGATGGGTTGAAACCACAAACCATAGATAAACCATAGATAATGTGGATGTCTTAATCTGAAAGTTAATTTGTTTCTTTTAATGGATGGCGATGATGTTCAGCATGTTAAAAGCCGCTTGCACCAGAAGGGGGTCATCCCGAACTCTACACCGCAAGGTGTGTGGCTGATGATTTCAATTCACTCATCATGTTTTTTTCTATGAAATTGAGATGTTAAAATGGTGTAAATAATATTTACAAACCGTGTTTTTTTAAATAATCTTTATGGAATATAATCTATCTTTGGCAATGACTTATATTCCAGATTTGTGACGAACCGCGCAGCGGCGGAGCAACAGCTACGACGATGGATTGTGGTTTGGACAATCCACCTCCACAAAGGAACATTCATACACAAAAGCCCATGTACAGTATTATAAGTACCCTCTGGTTATGTCAAAATAGCTATTGAAAATGGCCATAGAAATAGTTGATTTCCTAATTAAACATGGTGATTGTCCATAGTTATGTTAGTTTACCAGAGGGTAGTTCATGCATATGTCTATTTCTTTAAAAAAAATAACAATATCTGGTAACAAAATCATGATCTATTCATATTTTTGCGGATTTTTTGAAGTATTGTACATTGGGGATGTTATCTATAGTGTAGGTGATTTTTCCAGAGCCGGCGCCGAAGTCCCCCAAGATGAGGATGATCATGGTTAGAAATTCACCGACGGAGCGACATCCTGTGACATCTGAGATTTATTTTACCCTCTGGTAAACGTTTACATAACGTTTACCATGATTCGCTTTTAATCACCATTATCGACCCTCAATATCAACCATGATTAATCATTAATATAATAACCATTAATTAGATAATTTTCCCATGTCAATGCACAGTTAAAGCGACTTGTCCATTGCATTCCATGCCATTATTCACATTATTCATTTATTCCCATGAGTAAGCATGACTATTATATTGTTATGCTAGCCAATGCTACAGTATTACGATTACTAACTAATATTGCCAAACGATATTGACATCCCATTATACAATCACCATTATTAGTTCATAATATTTGATTAGTAATGATGATCAAATTTTATTAATTATCACATACTTATTTAATGGCCATGTTCATTCACAATTTATTATCATTCTTACCAATCACAAAATTACCTAATCATTGCATAGCCATTGTTTTATTCATTTCCCATAATCATTGACACTGTGTAACCACTGAATTATTGATCATCAGGTATCATTAATTAGATATATTACATAAAGTATCCATTTAGATATAGCGTGATTGATCATTTGTAAGCATACAGGATAGTTTTATTACTCACAATTAACTTATTTCATCATTAACACCATAATCATCTGGGTTAATTGAACTATAATAAATAAGTTAATTGTGAGTAATAATGGTGTTAATTAATGGATCATTTGATGCTTACAATAATCATCTGGGTTTGCCTGGAGATAGTGGACGACTCTAAATCCCATTGGATTAGAATCATTTTCCCAGAAGTACATGTCGCCTTTTAGAGGTATACCCCATTCTCAGACATCACCATTTAATATCAGTCGCCAGAAAAATATTCCACCATTGACCATATTCACAAGCGTCATGGTTGATGGAGACAGTCATTGACAGTAAGATTGATACCACAACCATTCATACATATATATATATATATATGTATAACCATGTGATAGCCATCTAATAACAATAGTAATAAATATAATGATATAACCATCTAATAACCATACTTGACAGTCTAACCATAACCATTTGTTGACCATTTATCAACTCTTTGTTAACCGTTATTAACCACCAACCAGTATTGCATTGAACGTTATAACCATTATTAACCACCAACCATTATTAACCAACCAGTATATATATATATGTATATAACCATTGATTAACCATTGATTAACCATTGATTAACCATTGATACATCCATGATCAACTCGTCAAGTCATTTACTCACCGGTGCAGGTTATGGAGATGTTCCCTTCCTCCAGGCGGGGGAGAATGTATGGTTTGGCAAATGGATGGTTAAGACTAATGGACATGATATCATGATTAATATAACGGGGATAATATGACTAGTATGAATTAATGGACACTAATGATTCAATATTGAATAATCTTGATGAATGATTCATCATAATGGGAATTCCAAAAAAGGGATTCTGATTTTATGGGGATATATGGTGATATATGGGGATTCATGGGAATGGGGAGTAATGCCATTAGGGATTCATGTTCATAGTACCCTCTGATAATTTAACAGTTTGCTATTGAACATGGCCATTTGTAGTGGATTTATCCATGGAAAATGGTGGATTTTTCCATAGTTATGTTAGTTTACCAGAGGGTACTAAACATGGACACCAGAATCCGACAAAAACTGCTTGATTGAGCCAGTTGATTCGGACGTTAGATCAACATATTTAGTTGGTTGGTACTCCATGACATCCTTTAGCGATCCGATTCCGAGAATTCTGCTGGGTTGAAAACCAGAAAACCGGCATGTGACGGCCACATCTTTATGTTGTAATTTGCTCATTTTTGCTGATCGGAAGCTCCATCATATCCAGTTATAAATTACTGCCACTGGGCCACTGGGTCAACTTGGTAGGGCACTGAACAGAGTAGGGCCCATTTTCCAAATTTTGGCCCCAAGCTTTGTGAAGTTTTGAATATTGTAAAAAAAACGTTTTTTGACCTTGACACATTTGCACATATAGCTGGTATCTAAGGTATTCAAGTATCATGTTGAATATATGGAAGATGGGAAGATGGTACCTTCTTACAATGAAAATACAACGATTGCTGGTTGGTGGTTTGGAACATTAAACTTATGACTTTCCATATAGTGGTCATGTCATCATCCCAGCTGACGAAGTCCATCATTTTTCAGAGGAGTAGGTCAACCACCAATCAGCCATTTATTAACCATTGATAGAGATAGAACCATTTATGAACCATTTATTAACCATTTATTAACCATATGTATCATACAACCATTTATTAACCAGTTATTAACAATTTATTAACCATTTATTAACCATTGATTAACCATTATGAACCACCAACCAGTATTCTTGGGGACCGGCAATCGCCTCGGTCGCGAGGTATCTCCGGATCAATCGCGAGGCGCGGAGTTGATGAGTTCGGGGAGTTCACCATCAACAGCCTATAGGGGGGTTGTAACAATAAACCGTAGTTATTGGAGGTATAAACCATAGTAAGATATAGTAAGTATAGTTATATCCACCATAAAACATAGTTATTGGAGGTAGGTTCATCAATTGTAGGTGTTGGTTCTTTAATATATATATATATACATACTGCCTATATAGCATATAGCATATATATATATATAGGATTATGTATCTGGATGTTCACGATTGTCACAAGTCATAACTGATGGTTGATGATTCGTTACATCTATTGGGTGTTTTTTTCATTTTTTTGTTGTGTGAATGTTCATGTGATAAAAACACAACAAGAACAAGTCTGGCATATGAGAATAAAGCAATAAATGATTGTTGATTCGTTCGGGGATCATGCGTCATGCAGCATATTAGAAGGCTACCATCATCTGGGAATCCTTCTGAACCAAATTTTCAGAAAGTTGATGACGGGCCGGGCGGGTTTTGAACACTTTTTTTGCAGTGATTTTGTTAGTGAAGGTGATCCTCCAAAACAAACATTTTGGTATTTAGTATATCTTATAATACACATATATATATATATATATTTATAGATACCCTACTACAGATTCAACTCAGGAACTGTTTGGATCCATACGGATGCAAATTATAGATCTTCTTAGGGAAGATGATACAGACAACCGGGCAGGAATTTTACCACCCATTGAGAAACTTGCCAAGAACAGATTGTTATAATTGGGAGAACCTGCATAGATGTTCGATGATGCCATGAAGTGCTTACAAAATCGCAGTTTCAGTGAAGCCAGTCTGGTTAGGTTCCCATAGGGAAAGTGAAGCACAATGGGGAGATTTCCAGCGAGGTAGTTGACCACCTTCCAGAGGGTAGTTGAAGAGGTGAGAAGCAGCAAGGATTTCGCAAGGATTTCACCCATTTTCTTTTACCAGTAACAACAAGACTGCATCACCAGTGCATTTGTTGTCCGAACATGTTTATGTTCATGCTTTATTCAGTTGAAACGCAATGTTTTTTTTGTTTCGCAAGAAATCTGTTCGTTTTTTTGGTGAAATCCCCATTCTCTTACTTGAATCATCTGGGTAAATTATAATGACCTCACCGCGACCTCACTGGAAATCATGGTTAGGATTCGGGAAATCATCCCCAAATGGCCGCAAGATTCAGGTTAGTGAAATATTATAATTTGCCCAGAATCATCATTTCTGGAGAAATCTGTAGAGCCGACGTCTCAACGTCCTTGTCTCAACGTTTACCCATTCATCCCTCGGGACCCTTTTGTGACCCTTTTGTGACAGGAGGACAGCACTTTCCCTCGTCCTGAGTGGCCACTTGATTCAGGGTTGGTCATGTCTACAAATCATCTTCATTCATTTAACAATGGATATAAATCATCTACAAACTAAAAAAAAACTACGCCTCTAGCCTCTAAGTCACATTTTGCATGATAAATAAGTTGTAGCCACTGATGATATCTGTAGACCTGGGTGAATTTTGTCGATGGATTTTCCCAGCCATTGACTCGGTGGAATGATGAATGGAATTCAGGTGGATTCATCCCCAGCCATGGCCAGGTTACTGTATAATCCTATGGATATACCATGGCTGGATATCAAAAAACATTCCTAGCCTGTTGGGCTATTTTGTATCAGGTGATTGGGATATTATGAATAATTTTTGTGTAATGATTTATCAATCATTGGCATCTTAAATATGGGGCTATATACACTCTGTCTAGCTAACGTAGAAGCGTTCGCTGCCTAACAACACCTAACGAGGAAGTTTGCCGATTTTCTTCACTTTCCTAGATTGGGCCAATCGAAATCGATGGTTTGGTTCTGGGTTTACCCTCTGGTTATTTAACATAGCCATGGAAAATGGTCCATTTATAGATGGTTTACCTATTAATAGCATGGTGATTTTCCATGGCTATGTGAGTCATAACCAGATGGTACCTAAAAAGGAGGTGTTCACCCAGGTTGGACTAAGAAGTTGCCAACAAAATGCTTCCTGCTGGTGAGATTTGACCTGGTTTATCCATCATGGAGGTGAAGCGATGGGCACAGGGGCACCTGTTCGGGGCACCTTTTAGCCATGGCGCCATGGCGCCATGAGATATTTCTAAATAGCTGATATAGAAAGGAACATCATGTTCCTTTCTACAATGGCTATAGGAATCAATATGTATATAATAATAAATATATACACTATACATATAGATACCTCATATTTTTTATGGGAACTTGAACATTTGTTCACCAGATATATCTTTATATATATATATATTTAAATATCTTATCGGAACTTCATTTGTTCAGCAGCTTTTGTTGATGTTCACCAGGGCTACCGGGTTGGAGCAAGTTGGACCAAGGCGAGATCGTACGGTCTCGGTGAAGGATGGCGTCGACCAGGCCGCAGGGCGCCCAATGATGGCGATGTTGCTGGAAAAAAAAACCAGTGACTTTAGATATATCTACCATAAATGTGTTCTACTATATATTATTATATATTATTATATATCTAACTATAGATATATAGAATCTATCATATATTTATATATATTATTATATATCTAAATATAGATATATCTATCATATATTAAGTGAATTTATAAACCATAGAGGTATATATGAACTATAGATATATCTATAACTATATATATATACACCATAAACTATACTTAAGTTGAAGTTATAAACCAGTTCCAGCCATCATGTGGTAGACCCACAATAACCATCCCCTAAATTACATTTTTTATGGGTGGTAAACACCAGTTCCCAAATTGTAGCTGTCTTAGTTATAAACTATAAACCAACTTACCTATCATTTGGGGGTAGCACCTTGTAGCCTCCAAGAATCAAACTGGGATACCACAAAATACTGGGACATTTTGGGATTTATATCTTATAATCAGCAACATGACTATGGGAAATCCCGGCCTTGGGCATTTAAATGGGAACTATCTCGAACTCAAAAAGGTGGATTTTTGCGCAAAGCATGATTATCACGCAAAGCATGGTATTAGGGGGTTTGGTTGAATGGTTTCTACTTGTTTTTTTTTAGACCAACTATTTTATGGAAATCAAGCTGATGTAGTGATAATATACACGGCAAACGCTCTTGGGTAAATTATGATATAACCTGACTGACATCGCCATACTTAGATGATGGTAAATGGGGAACTGCGTAACCAAATCACCAGGTGTCTGAATCAAATCCCAATTTAGATCACTGTGGCATGGTCAGATGCCCATGTTTGATGGCTAACTCCACCTATATTTGATGATGAAATTAAATCCACATTTTTTTGTTGGTTAAACCCAGATCTAAACTTATATCCAGTTGAATTCTAAGTTTTATGAGAAGCTTCCAATTTTGGATGGCTCCACATTGTCTGGTCAAATGTGTGCGATTGGGCGCCAATCCAAAGCGCCTCGTTTCGCCCAGCATCACTTTTGGGTTTCCACGGTCTGAGGGTTTCAGAATTAGGGTTTTAGATGGTTTTAGTGTGTAGGCTTTAGAATCTTTAGAAGGCCTTCCAGTGAGTTGATATGGTTTTGAGGGTTTAGGATGTTTAGGATGGGAGGACTGCACAGCTCCCCGAACTGCTGTTCGCAGGCCTTTGCAGCCATGCATGCGCAGATCCTCCCAAAGGTTCCGGAGGGAGGGGAACCATGTGCAACACTGAAAGATTGGGGATTAGACCAAAAATGCGTATCTAATCAACATGAGGAAATAAATCTAATGGTTGTGCTTTAAGAACTAAACCATAGTCACAACTTGAGTCATGAGCTGATTTATTATACCATAGTCACAACTATAGTCATATCATATGGTAATTGTTGAACCATATAGTCATTGACATAGACACATACCGGGTTCACCCGGTATCAAGTTTTGCCAATCACTAACCATGAAGATCATTCATACCATAGTCCATAGTCACAGACTAATGATATGTATGATTACCTAGATTCATGACCATGTTTTTATCGTAAACATCTAGTCATGGTATAGTCCATACTATAGTCATATACTTCATATTGAAACCATTAAATCGTTATCATTCACTAATCATATCATATCATAAATATGTTTTCAATCATATATAGTATCATAAATGATTAGTTCAATATTTATCATATATAGTCGTAGAAACATTTTCTCATTCACTAAACTAATCATTGACTAATCATATCATTAAAAAAACACATAATCGATGTTTGGCGTCTTATCCCAGTTAGTAAGTGGCTTAGTTCACCCCAGTAGCAGGACATTGCCGCTTTCCCTACAGTAAAACTTCAAGTGAATTCAGTAAAATTAAAATTCCTGGACTAAATTTATATTACAATTATATACTAATTATATATAGTATATTAATGTATATTATATATATATACCCTAGTAAAAACGACTTACACGGCTGGTACTTCGATGTAGAACTCGCCGCCGTGTCCATTTTCATCCCATCCCATCGCCAGGCCTTAGACATGTGCCGCTTCGTGGTACCTTGGAGCCGAAACAGCCAGGGAAAATCTGTTTCGTAGGTCAACATGATTTGTTTTTTTGCATGATATGTTAGTTTGTTTGTTTTTTTTGGGGTGGTAGATTACTTGTTTTTTGTTCTAGTTTATATATGTTTATATACTATATACCCTGATTTTAAGGATTTAAACTTGTGGCATGATTCCTGGACAGGGTTTATATGCAATGATAAATTTCATTCTAATTTGGGATATATAGCCACTTTTTTTCCAGAAAGAAGGGACACTGCAAGTATAAAGAAAGTTTCGCCACCAGACATGTGGACGGAAGGGTTCATAAGTTGCTGAATGGATTCTGCCAAAATTGTCAGGATTTCGGATCACCTATGTGTAGAGCGCTCCTGATGAACTGGCGAAGTTTGGTATAGTCTAACCTTGTCTCCCTATCGTTGGTATGTGCCAAAATTTAAGACTGAGATGTGATGATATGAATTGGAACAGCAACTAAGTAACCGAAGATTCAATGGATTGTTTTTTTTAAGGGGAAATCTACACTGGAAACCGTCGAATTTCCCATTAGATATGGGGTTTTCCTGTAAAATTTCCATTGAACGATGACCTCAACTGCCCAGATCATCCTCAGAAAGGATCCACAGGCTGCGGAAAAAGCCGCTGTTTTGCTTTTTTTTTTCTGTGGTGCAAAGAGCTGCCCAGTTGGAACTCTAAGGTTGCAATTATATATTGTATATATATATATATTATATATACATATATATATATATATACGTACATCATTGTTTCATGTGTATATATATATATACAATGTTGAATCTGTATGATTTTGTTTTATCTTAGATCATATGTACAAATTATTGTCATTATATATATATATATATTCCTATATATTGCAATCTACCGACATGTCCCAACATTGCACCCCAGACTAGAGGGTCTAAAGTGGATGAAGATTAGCCATTTTATTGACAACCTCACTCGCCATGGCCGAGCATCCCAACATTGATTCAGTTTGTGTCCGATCTGCGAAGTCATACAAGTTGCCTCTCTCTCTCTCTATAATGTATATATAAATATATACTCTATATATATATATATATATACACCCTATATATATATATATTATACATCTAAAAAACAAAAATGAAGTGGCAACAGAGTGATTTGAGGACCAGCTATCTATTTGACATTATCCCAAAATGATGGGGAATATGCTTTTTTTTTGGTGTGTGTGTGTGTTGGTACGTTACAAGTCCACGACTTGACATATATTCCCACTTTATTGACAGGCTAAAAACACAGAAGCCTTAAACCTTAAATCCCATAGACTTGATGGTTTCCCTCACGTTTTGCAGCTTTGGTATCCAAATCGTTGCCCAGATATTCCAAGCGGATTTTTTCATTAACGAATTGCCACAGAGCGGGAGTGTTGTGGTTATCCACGTCTTTTCGGACACACCCGTACCGTTCAGATCGTTGTTAAGAAAAATGACACGTCCAGTTTCTATGAACTCGTCTTTTTGAAGTCTATCATACTCTATCCATATATCTGGGTAAATTATAAAGACCTCACTGTGACCGAAGCCTGGAGTCATGGTTAGGATTCGGGAAATCATCCCCTTTTATGGCCGCAAGATTCAGGTTAGTGAATTGTTACAATTTACCCAAATATCTAAATAAATAAATCATATATATCATTTCAAGTCATATATCTACTATTACCCAGATTTACTATTACAATTTACTTGAGTCATTTCAATTCATATCTACTCAAGGTTTGGGTTGGTCCAAATAGTCCAAATGGCAGATCTTTCCCGACATATCAGTGTGGTTAATGGTCAAAACATCATATTCCCACATTTGGAAGTGATATTCTATTTTTTGTATTACATGTGCATAAAAAAACAGTGATCCCTATACAAATGCCTGATCCAATCACGTTCAAGCCGGATCCCAATGTGGCCCATCTACCAGAACATCCTCAAGAACATGACGTCCAAGGTGGAGGCCAACTCAATGCTCCACATGAACGTACAAATCTACGAGAGCTGCCCTATTGGTTCTCACAGGTATGGAATCTACTTGACCAAGAAGGGAGAATGGAAGACGATGAGGAAGTTGTCTTCATCAACTCCTTCTACATCAGCCATGCCACCAACCTTGTCCAGGATCGTGGAAGACCCTTACGGTTCGACCGCAATATTATCACATGGGTTGAGGACATCAGTTTCGTCTGGGAAGATCTATTTGACAGACAGGCACCTTTCTCTGCCACAATTGTGACGCCAGAGCCACCATTCATTCTCATGCCTGGCTGTGTTGCGACAATGTTGATTGTGCAGCATCCAAATCCTATGCGAACTGCGTGCCTCACCACTGCGATTGACCCGGTCCTACCACGAGCCAGGATGTTACAGATTGCACTATCCCCGGACATCGTCATCCCATATCGACATGTACTTCATCACGGAAGAGTGTCAGATAAGTGTGACGAACGAGCTCAACAAGGACTTGGCCGCTGCAGCATTCACATTGGCCATCTGGAATTGCCATATGGACAGCCCATTCGGCTTCATGAAGGACTCGGACTCACCATACGTCTGCCGCCCCCAGTTCCACCTGAGGAATGGGAAAGGCAATTTGTTGAACATGTCCGAAGAGAACATCCACCACAGAGACAATGGGACTGGGGAGAAGGAGATGAAGCCAACTTCATGGCGCGCAGACCACGGCCGATTGCACCCAGATCCACGACATCATCCTCTTCTAGTACCGACTCTTCATCCACGAGATCAAGATCGTGTGCTGATGAACATGAGACCAATGACCCAATGCAAGAGGTGATTCTGCTTCTTCGTGACGGCAGGTCTGCCACCACAAGAATTCCTAGGCAGGATCAAGCAAGGGCTGGTCAACATTTTGCGGAGATTTTTGGTCTCGAAGTGAGTGACATCGTCCAAGCCCATCGACTTGGCTTCCCAACTTCATCACCAGATTGTCGCTGTTTCGGCTCCTACATCTTGAAGCACATTGCCAGGAGACGCCAGAGCGTTGTCATCTCTACATCAACGACTTTGAGATTGAACGTCTAGATCATGCCACGATTGACATTGAACATGGTTGCTATGTCTGCATTTGCATTGGAGCATGCGACGCGAATCAAATCATGGACATGATGGACGAATGCATTGAAGGCGATGAGATGGCTTTCTTCCAACATTACCAAAGTGTACCACCAGCTGCAAAGTGGCCACCTATGCTTACTTTCCGCAGTGAAAGAAATGAAGAACCACCATTGCCAGCACAGCTATGCAATCCACAAGAGCAAGAACGCAGAGTGCCCAGACCAGCAGTACCAAGCTGGAGGTCTACCCTCCACAATCGCTTTGCTGCTGAAGCCTTCACTGAGCTTGAAGAAGAGGGGCAGGTTGCGTATGTGGTCACATGGCTAGTACTGCACACACGACAAGCAAGATGTAGACGACCCAGAACGGTCCGACTGGGAGCAGATCCTTTGCAATGGGAGAATGACATCATTGAGGCATGGCATGATATGGTGGATCATACATTGCCCACGTTTCTTCATCATGTACATCCCAGACCTACGCAGGCCACTCTCCAGACCATTCTTGGACACCTCATCATTGAGCAAGAACCAAGACCAGATGATACAGTTGCCATGATCACCACTCACCGACGTGACAGGACACAGACTGTTCTGGGCCAAATTGCTCTTTCAATACCAAGGCTCATCTCGAGAAGAGGGCTTCTACGACATCTGCAAATACCACATCTTGAAGAAGACCAATGGATTTTTTACAGAGTCCATTTAAATGACATTCCCTTTGGGTTATTTAACGTAGAGCAGGTTGAGCCTGGAACACACCTTGAAGTGCTCCTTCCCAATCAACGAAGCCACTTTGCGCCCCTGCCCATTGACCACACGCATCAATTAGTCCTAGAGGAGAACACTGATGCTGAGAGCCTCATGCAGCGTCCCAACCAGAATGATGGTCAACAGGGCCAAGGAATGCAACAATCCTCATCGAGTGATCAGTGCCGTGATGGTCTTGACATAGCGACAACCACACCGCATGCAGGTGAGCCTTTTCAGTTTAACCCCTTTGCACCGGACTTTGCCGTGCCAAGACCATCGCTCCAAGGACAGACCGAATTTGTGCAAGATCTATTTGCACTTTGGCAAGTCCATGCAACGCACTGGGAAGGAGAAGTCCGATCATGCGCTGTCGCTGTATGGTATGTCAACCATCATTGGGCTGCCCCACATGGCCTCTTCCATCGCACTGTCCAACTGTACGAGAACTACCAGGACTGGGAAGACGCCATCAAAAATGTGTGGAGGGATCAGATTGATCCAAATGCTGAAGTTGAATTCTTTCTGGTATCACCACACCCGCCAAGCGCGACAAATGAGATCACAGCCCATGTCATTGCGGTTCAACATCAACATCCACACTGGGTCACATCACTTGTGTCTGTGTATGATGCTGACCTGCGTGGACTTGACCCAGAGATACAGCTTGCGGCGACCACGCATGAACACATCCTGCTGGAGAACTTGCTCATCGTCGCGGAATTAATGCCACTCTGCCGTGGTAGCGACGCTACACATCATTGTCAGGCATGGTTCGGTGCCAATCCTCTACGTCCTGGCATACCATTTCCTGGTAGATGTGGTTACGGCATCATTATCCAGATCCGAGCAGCCCAGCGAAACCCTGGTGGTGGGGTCAACCTCCTACAACTTTCCACAAAAGTTTTTCCGGCCAAACAGGAAACTGGAATGAGTAAACAGGAGCGCCTAACAGATGACACGGTGGCTCACGGTCATCGGCCCTGTTCTACTCAATCTCCCAAAGCTGAACTTTGCCTACAGGACCTGCTACCACATGACACTGCTGTTCACCTTGTGCGGGGGGAAGGGCTTACTGGACTTCCTACGTATTTAGAGGTTGCTGGGCCTGGAACGGCTGATCAAGTACAAC